CTTGAGTAAAAGTAGTCAAAGCACTTCAGATATTCATTGCTATCGGATGTTAAGAGCATTCCATGGAATATAACAAAAAGTGTATCTCGAGCCGGTTTCTCAAACGTACCTACCCCACCTCTAAGTACCATTCTCCTTATTATCACTGCTTCCTAAACAACGACAAAAAAACCTCAAACTTTCCGACTTTTGTCCATAAATACTGTATTTGCTGAGTCTTTTGGAAAGTGTCAGGCAAACGTCACTTCCCACACAATGCTCTGACCTTTTTCGTAGAAGAAAATTGTGTTTTTCTTACCTTATAAAGGACTAGAATTACTTCTCAAAGCCATAAAATAAGGAAATATGCAAACCAGCGTTGCACGTGAATTATTACTGCTGACTGACCACTACACATGACATTTAACATCTGGGAAAAGCTGGTGTACAATTTGCTGTGCTGGTTTATCAGGCTCACTGAGGGAGACTATAGCCAGACATAGAGAGTCAGACAGGGAAAAAGCTCAGTAAGTGCAGCATAGCCTAAAGAAATGTTGCATAAAAATAGAAATAATGTGACTGAGCTGTACTGAGGCTTTAAAGTCAAGATTTCACACAAAACAACTCAGTAAAGGTGAGGAAAAGATTAAAGTTGACGCTGTTTTCATACATACACCTCCATACACCGTCCGTCTGTGCAGCAGATGTGCAAAGCCACGTGATTTCCCTTAAAGTGTTTGATGCTGTAAACATTTTTAATTAAACCACCATATATAATTGAAACATCTATGAATATACGTTTGTGTTGCCATGCCGACTCTGTTGATTATACATCATGTGTGTGTATATGCTGACTTGATGTAGGAGCATCACTGCCAGTAAAATCTTGTGGAAAAGGACTTTGTTTTGTCTGTGAAACCTCGGCTACTTTAAACTAAAGTGAGTTATTTTATTTTGCTTATGGCGTTCAGATTCATAACATTAAGGCGGCCATATAAATCTGGATGCAGGGGACTCAATGTGAGGTTTACACTTAGACATGAGCGATTGCATTGTTTTTAAATACTTTAGAGCAGCGGTTTTCAAAGTGTGAGGCGCGCCTTCCATGGAAGAGAGCTTCAGGGGAGGCGCAGCGTGAGAAAAAAATAACGAGAAACAGTGAAATCTAGCTAGTTAACTTCAGCTAACTTTATGTGTGAACTTACCTGAAGTGAAAGAGGAGACAGCGTCTGGCAGAAAACGTCAGCTTTGTTTTGAAAGAAAAGTTGTGGCTCATCGGACATTTATGAGAGAAAATCCCTAATGTCCGAGTGCAAGTGAATGCAGCACAAGACGCGAGCCTAGTAGCCCCTCCCCCGGCCCTGGCTCGAGCGAGGAAATGTGATTGGCGGCGATTTCCTTTGAACGGGACGGCGCAAAACGAGAAGCACTCGGACCCCAAGCAGACGGAAGGAATGAGGTATTTGCGGACTACAATGACAGAGAAGAGACTGTCAAGTTTGACTGTTCTCAGCATTGAATCAAAACGCACTAAAGCTGTTGATCTTAATACGTTTGTGAGGCGTTTTGCTTAACAAAATGGTAATCGCCGCATTCAGCTGTAATAGCCATGCCAACTTGATGCTCTGCTCACGGATGACTCGATGAGCATAACAAACTGTTAAGATGATGACCTTACATGTACGTGTGTAAATATATATTTTTCTTTGTGGGGGTCTGCCCCCAAAAAACAGTTGTAAGTCTGAGAAAGTCAAATAAGACGGTGAGTAAAACTACACTGCCCAGCCAAAAAAAAGTAACCACTTTGATTTAACTAGGCCAGTAGGTAAGGACTTTCCACTGGATAAATAACAACAACAATAATAATAGCAATAATAATTGGGAGGGGGGGCGCGGCTGTTCTTATGTTCTCTGAGGGGAGGCTCCCCTTCCCACACTTTGAAAACCCCTGCTTTAGAGAATACAGATCCTCAGCTATTAGAGACTTCTGTTGGGTTAAGGGATTATTGGGAGTGCTACTGTGGACAATATTGCTTAAAACCGCTCTTCAGCCGATACCAGATGACAGAATGTTTCTTTACTTTGTGTTTTTGACATGAGGGAGCGATGATCCTTGGATTATGAACCAGGATTCTTTAACCCTGTGCCCATCAGCTGCTGTGAAGCTCTGTCCCATTTCATCTGCTTTTGATTCATCGCCTGTCAGCAGCTGTCTGCTCTGGACGCATTCAGAGCGATAGGAAGAGGAATCAAAGGAGTGTTTTTGGATAAGGCCGGTGTGAGGCTTCAACATCGGACAGAGTACTCTATTCTTTGGATAAAACCCAATGAATTCTCGCCTCTGGGCCACAGCTCGGAGCACAGGGACTTTGGGGCTCCGTCTGCATAGACTCTTAGATAGATTCTACAAAGCAATTCAGCTCAAAAGCATTATTTAATAAAGTGTATCTGTCTGGGATCAGTGTGTGTCGCCTCGGTGTGACTGAAGTGGATTTAATAAGTACCTAAAGTGTGTGTTCGCCCTCGCAAAACTCTGCTGAGTGGAAGAAAGAAACACCAAATCTCATACGCCGGTGTTTGAGGCGAAACTCATTTTGTTAGCTTGAGCTGGTATCGATTTTGATCCGCTGGATAATATCGATGTCACAGTGGTTTATATGTCGGGGAATCTCTTGAATTATTGCTTTGATTTCTGCCTCAGACAAAGAAAAATAAGTCCAAGAAACCCAATCATACCTGCAGCTTCTATTAACCAGACAAGCTTCGAGCATAATCTCCATGTGGGCGTTTATAACCCAACAGTGACAGCAT